ATGCTGGAGAAAAGCACCCAGCAGCAGGGAAAACGCACCCGGGGCCGGAGCGGGACGGCGGCCCTCGCTCCCCCTGCGGTTCGACCTGCCTCGAAAGCCGCCGTCGTGCACTGGCTTCAGCACACCCCAAAAGCAACACGTGCCTTCTCCCGCTCATCCAGTTCCAGTACAGCTAATGGAAGTGCCAACATGGGTTTTCAATCCGACAGGGTCTCTTGCGCACACAGCTATTACTTGTATCATCATTACTTTGGTTCCCACACATGCAGCTTCCGTTTCAGAGTCAACGGTCCTGGCAACTGGATCTGTGCCCGGTGGGTAGAAAGCGTGGTTGAGAGTCGAGACGGGGCAATGACCAAGTCACAGTAACAAGATCATTTTCTCAGCCATGCGTACAACATAGCTCACCCTCCACTGTTTTCATGCTCGGCTTTCCTGCCGAAATGCAACAGAAATACCAAGATAGTCTATGCTGATGCAACAGCAATTTTTTTGTTTGCTTTAAAGAGCAAATTTCAAATAAATGTTTGAACACATTATGCACGGTATTGTTTTACAGACATAATTTTCTCCTGACTTCACCATTAAGTGATCTTTGAAAAGTTGCTCTGCCTCGTATCTTAAGTTTTCTGTGCCTGTTGGATAAAACAGTGAAACCAGAACTGGGCCTAGACCTAAGAGAGCCACAGACTGTAGTTTCTAGGCATAGCATAAAACATGACCCGTCTCATTTTTCACAGCTCAATGACAAATGTGTACAATTTTGCTACATAGCTAACTTACACCACGGTTTTATGGGTGCTATTGATCATCTTGAGTAACTGCAAGGAAGCAGTTATTACTGCCTGATCAGATTTAGTGTTAGTGGAATTTCTGAGCAACAACAGAGATCAGATGTCAAACTTCTGTTATGTTTTGCATCTGGGGAATCAGCAATCTCATCTGCTGAGGATTTGCCTGGGCAAGAAGCTGTCTTATTACAGCCTCTCTTTAAAACCCAAGCATCTTCTGGTTTGGTTTGAAATCACTCGTACATGCTTCTGAAGATACGCAGAAATTTTATAAGACTTGTGGTGCTCCACTGTTTGCATTGTGATGGCACCATACCAAGAGCAGTGCACCAGATGTACAGACGCAATAAAAAGTCCACCCCGCAACGGCCTACCAAAATACACTTATAATCACTTCAGAATTAATGTTCTCCATTTATTGATCATCTAGTTTCAATAAGCATTTTCCAGGCATCACAGCGGGAAAGAATTTTAGCATGACAGCTGAACTGCCCTTCCGATTTTTACAGAGATCTTCTCTGATGCATAAGAAGCAGCATGGAGAAATATAAAAAAGGGATTAGGATGGCCATACTACTTTGATATTTATTAAAATTCCATGCTTTGCTTTTCCTTTTCCCTCAGTGATGCAGTGTTATCTGGAAAGCAGGCCACGGTGTGGTGGGGGAAAAAACAGCACAAAAACTCAGCCGTAATTACAAGCCTCCAGAGAACTAGAAAAAGTGTAACTGATCATCCAGTACGCTGACAGCCTGCATAAACCAAACTAGATGCAAGATCTTGGTACAAGTGAAACCGAGTAGAAATGCTGGTTTACTTAATTGTTCAAGTATTCTAGCACTACTCGTATGTACTGCATCTCTGCAACGGTGTTCCTATCTTGAGGCTAAGCAGAAATTTCTGGTCATATCAGTAACCACCATAGCCAGATCCCTTTCACATGTGGGGCAAGAACAAAACAAAAAGCCAACTGCAATCACAGAAAAGTTAAATAGGCCATTTCTATGCCTGCCAGAGGCTTTCTACAACCTGGACATTTGGCACCAGACCCTTAGCTGCCTCTTTCATTAAGTCATTGGGCATTAGCCATACCTGCAGCTTGTACATCTTAACAGTATCTCACAGTAACGCTCCTTCCTTTGGAATATCTGGGTCATATGGAATCACAAACCACCTGAGTAAGCCAAACAGAAGGGGGTTTATATTTGAATAATTTAGAAAGAAGGGAAACAACACTGCTGTGGAATTAACAGTTCTTCCATACCACTGATGCAAGACTAATGTTTCCAGGCCTACTCCTTAAAGAACAAACAAGCAGCTCTTCTGGAGAACAAATGAGAAAAATAAAGCTTTAAACTATTTTGTGAAGTTTACAGATGAGTCAGCTGTGAACTGTATGTGTCACTTAGGAAGACAAAACAGAGAACATTGTTGAACTTGCTGAAAGTAGCAAGTACCGATTATCTTGAATTGCTGCCAGCTCTTTAGATGCACTGTGGAAAGGGAAAAGGAAGGGCAGCCCATGGGGAAGAAGTCCACTGCTAGGTTTAGGAAGAGTAGCTTCTTCCCAATGTTTTGTTTATGGGAAGAATGGCACCATGCCACTGAGATACTGCACAGTCCCAACTTTTCAATAAGTGAAAAAGGGTAGCCAGCCGGTGGGCAAGAAACCTCCTCTCAAGCAATTTTAACAAGCACTCAAACAGGAACTAGAATCAGCTATTGTTTCTGGGCACTAATAGCTCTGAAGTACTGCACATAACTGCCTGCCTACATGAGCAGGCTATCCCATTAAAAGCAAATTTAACTAATGATTTCTCAAAATAATTCATTACCAAACATGTAAATGTCAACATTAAACACATCTATGTTTATCTAAAACACCTGTATGAGGAAGCAATACTTTTACTTGTAGGTCATCTTATACTTACTAAATGGCTTTTTGTCCCATACAGCTGTATGCCACTAGTAACTGTCATGGCCTTCCAGCCCAGCCCACCCCTCAAGCAACCTGTAATATATGCCTTTTAGTACATGCATGTTGCACAGCAACCTGAAATGAAGTACAGCCAGCTAGCAAATTACTACTGAAGGCTTCTTACGAGATGACTCTTTAACACTGGAACTCTTGATTTATTAGTGGATTACTCCGTGCTGTTAAAAGCTGTGGTAAACCTGTGACAGAGCAGAGAATAGTCCAGTAGTCGCAAGTTCTTTTATAAAGTTTCTTTGGTAGAAAGGTATTTCAGGTAGGCTTGGAAAACTCTTGTTACCACATACTCTGAGTTTAGTATTTGCTCACTGGAGGGCCAAAGATTGTTACAATAGGAAGAAAAGTGTGTGTTTTGTTTGCTTTTTAATTATTTCAAGATTAAATACAGTATGTCAAATTCAACAAATGTTTGCTGATGTTATGTTGCTGAAGATGTTCAAGTTGTGCTCCAACTGCAGTTACCTTTCCTATTGAGATACTCAAGAGAGCCAGTTTGACACATTATTATTGGAAAAAATTATATTTTGGAAGAACTCACTACAGAAGGTGACAGAATTCCAAAAATCAAATTACATGAAAATATACATCGCAATTTTCTTTGTACATTAGGTGAGGAAAACTCTGAAGTAGAAGGCAAAGAATATGAAGGGCCACAGAAGAGAGAAAAGGGGGGAAACTATTTTTGATACCAAACCCAGAAGTTAGTCATTTGACAGCCTACAGATGTGCATGCTTGAACTCAACCTTGAGAAAAAACAAGCCTCCCACACACACGCCCCACCCCACAAACAGGCAATGAAAAAGGCAAAAAAAAAAAATCACCCATAAGAAGCAGCTCATTCCTATCTTGGACTAACTTAGTCAACTGAACTTCCAAATGAAAGCACTCAAGTCCCTTAGAAGTTAAAAATCCAGCAGGCTGCTCAAGGGTGCTCCATGGCCAGTTTTATTGCTATACCCAATTCATGAAGTATGTGCAATTGTGTTTAAAAAAGGGGCGGGAAGAAAAAAAAAAAGCACCTTTGAGACTACAAAGGTCATCATAAAAGAAGACACAAGTAATTGATAGCAAATCCTTTCAGGGTTTAATTAGGAAAATTTTAAGTTCTGATGGGGGAAATAAAAGGGAGCACATTTCCAAAAACCAAAAAAGAGATACTAAACTTTAATAAGCAAGAGATTTTAATTAAGTCTCAGTCGGTCAAAGGAAAATTAAAGTGGGGAAAAAAAAAAACCAAACAACTTTATCCTAATTGGTTTAGTTTGACATGCTTCACAAGTTGCTGTTTTTTTTTTTTTTTTAAACTGATAGGAAACAATGAATAGGGAGAGAAAAACCTGCTAAAATCTTTAGAATTTACACATATCTATTCCTAACTACAGACAGCATTATTTGGTACAATGTGTATTTGTGGATGTACATGAACAGTATATATATTATCCGGATCATGTTGTGCTATGTACACATCTTTACAATTCTTCCTGAAGGTTAAAGCAGTTCATTAGATTTCAAAATGCGTAATCATCTTGTGTTGGCACTTGTTAGGCTCTTGTCAGCATTGATAACTGGCATGTTTTATTGCAGCCCAGTTCCAGCCAGTGTTTGCCAACTTGTAACAACAGAAGTCCAGCAATAGGTGGGTAGAGTGCAGGAAAAAAAACAGTGCCATGTTTCTCAATTGAAGACCTACAAAGAAATCACAGTTATTAAAATAAAACCCCTCGTCATCCTCAATTATTTTAAAGATGTTAAATAGTGTTTCAAGCTCAAGGAAAATTATCATTACTTGTTCAAGAACTTTACATACCTCTAAACAGAAGATGCATAAATCCAAAATCATCACCTGAGAAAGACTTGAGCTAGTTCAGCATACTGCGTATCCAAGCTCAACTACCAGACTTTCAGGCTCCTCTTACTCGTGTTGCTTGTCAAGTGCATAGCGTGTAAATGTTTGATTATTCACACATAGGGCTAAACACTTGTAGATTTATCATTGAAACTTCCATGCATCACTTACTGTGAATGATGGATGCTGCTTCAACAGCACAGTGCAGTACAAAATGGCATAGCAGTGCTTCATTAAGCAATAACACCACAGCTACCAAGTCAGACTTCAGACTGTGCTTGTCTGAAACCAGCTATATGGCCCCTTCTTATCCAATTCATTGCCCATGACTTACTTAGGAGGAGTCACCAGGAGTTAGAAAAGCTTTCGCCTTCCAAAAAAGCAACACAGCCAATTACTTAAGTATCTGTCATGAGCATTGTTTCACTATGGCCAAGTTTAACATGGCAACAGAGCTGAGGTTAGTTAAGGATACTCTGGAGCATTACTCACAGTTTCTCCCTTTCTTTAAGGCAGAAAAAAACCTGTCAGCTGCATTAAAAATTCTTACACTCTAGTTATAGGCAGTTGTATAAGACATCCAGTTCCTTTGCTTAGTCTTTTGATCAATATTAAGCATTTTCATGCTTTCTCTATACTGGAGAAAGTTCCGTTCAATCAAAGCATTTCTGCAGAGAAGAGATCCTGCAGTACTAGTTTGTCACAGATGGAGCCTTCCCCCACCCCCAACCCCCACAATTCTTACAGAAGTGTAAGAAAGGAAGCATCTCCTGTACAACCTTGGCGAAGAAAAACTAACTAGCAGGAGCATTTAGTAAGCTGTTCTAGTTGTTCAGACAGTACAATCCCTTTAAACTACATACAGTGCCATATTTCTCCCCCCGCCAGTTTTGTACACTGAAGCTAACTAGTACGTATGGTTTTGGCCTTCTCCAGCCGAACGGGTCAGAGTAGTTTATTTGCCAAACCAACCATTAAGAAAGGGCAGCTTCAACATGAAGCTCCGTTTTGCTTTGAAAAGCAAGAGTGGGAAATTATTAGCTAGTTGAGGAAGTTTTTCCTTGGCGTACCAAGATTAAAGTGACCAAAGGCCAGGTATTTAAGGGCCACATTTTAATACACAGCTTTCTACAAGAGCTTACAGTGTTAAAAAAAAAGTCCCATTAAAACTAGGACGGGATTGTTCAAATTAGAGTAAGTATTTGAGTCAGAAGCTCATTTTTAACAGGGTGACATGAAGTGTAAATACCACATCAGCTACTCTCAGGTCAAAACTTGTCCAGGCTGTCAGATATGCTACAATTCAGTTTCCAAGCAGAATATAGCTGTTTTTCTGAAGCTATTCCTAAGCCTTCCCCAGTAAAAAAGTTTTTTGGGCTGCTGAAGAGAACACCACCTTTCTTGATATTATTGATGGGTAATATCTCAACTTGATCCTTTCTGATATGCTAGTAGACTTTCTATTAAAATTCCCATAGATACCTGAAGCAATCCTTTCCGAATGGTTCCTAACAACCTCACTGAAGTCTTATTTAAAACGTACAGCAACATGCCACCAACATATGCAAGATAGAGATATATGATATATATATGAACTTGAGATAGGAAGACAGTATGCTTATAAGATTCAAAAAGTGTTCTTCACAATAATGAACATGAAAATGATTATTCCCCTCTATTAGAGCTCTAGTAAACCCTAAGCACTATTAATAAAGCAGGATGAATACTGATCAAGAGAATTTCAGCTTCTGAATAGCATAAATGCAAGGGTACTAGAGAAGTTCCCCAATCTTGGCAGAAAGGGCTGTTACTGCAGTTGAAAATTTCTTTAGTCTTTAGTATCACATATAGCTAAAGAACTCCACTGAGACCATGCAGCTGAGAAGAAGGGTTGGCTGGCTTTTGGGTTTGTGGGCAAATGTTTGGTTTTTTGGTTTTGGTTTTGTTTTTTTTTTTTGCTTTTGAGGGAAAAAAAAAATTAGTTCAGCAACACTTAAGCAGGAAATCCTCGATTCAGGTAACTGAACTGTCTTTAGAAGGATACTTACCCTGAAAAAAGTGAAGCTACTAGCTGCTGAATAAGTGTCACTCAAAAGCAGTTTCTTGGCTTTTTCTTACACAGCGGGCAACTTTTCTTTTAAATTCTCCATTTCTGTCTTCTCTCCATTCTTTCTGTAATTGAACAGACAGCTTTCAGATGTCAGTCCTATAACAATGTACAAGCTGTAGGAAGACTCTTGGTGTTTTTATATATTAGCCATCTAGTCAACACCTAAATTTGCCTACAATCATTTAGCTAGTCACTGAAAACCTGTGACATTCAGGACTTTTGAAAGCTTGCTCTGGGTTTCTATGCAAGCTGCTCACAAGACAGTGAGGACACCGCCTTTCCCCCTTGGATTTTAGGTATTCTCCAAGACTAACCTGGTGGCTACCAATATTTCACAATGTCTAGGCCGAAATCTATTTACTTCAGCCTGCAAAGTAGCAGCAAACTCAAACTGTAAACCACAAGCTGTTGTTACGGGTTAAAGAAAGTGTCTTTAACTGCAGTGATGAACAAAGGTACACAGCGGCCTCTAAACCACTCATTCACGACAGGAACCAATAGTTATTCTGCCATTTTTAGGACAGTTTCAACTCCCTCTCAATCTAGCCAGGACACCCCAGGATAGAAATACAGAAGATACAGTATTCAGAACAGGCACAGCAGTGTCCCTAGAAAGAAAACACCTCCTAGTTAGATATGGCTGCAAGATATTGGCTCCATGAGGAAGACCTCAACAGAATACTCAGCACACTTATGGGGATGGTCTCTGTGACAAGTATCCGATTTCAGAACTGCATAGATGAAGAACAAAGATAAAAATGAACAGAAAGATAGGCAAGAGGTAAGCCTGAACCCGGAGATGTGCACATCATGGTATCACCAAAACCCACAGGAAAAAGCGCAGCCAGTTTTAAGTTTTTTTGTGCCAGCCTCGTGATGAGCTCATATGAAAGCATAGGAGCATCATACACTGTGACTAAGGCGGACGTGTTGGGTACTGGCAAGGAAGTGGTGGGAAAATATGAAGAACCCCTTATTTAATGAATTAAGTTCTACAGTTCTTAGTTTTTGATATAAGCAATATATTCTTACTGCAGGGGTAGGGTAAGGGGTTAAAAAACCCCCACACTGTTTTACCTGAAACAACCTAGCACGCAACACCTTTTCACCCACTACTTGGAGTGAAGGTTGTAGCACATTTCAGTGAGAGAAAATTAAGATCACTGGTATATCCTAACATTTACCACCTCCAAGCTCACCTAGCCAGTCAGCATGCTGGAAAGCCCAGCATGTCTTATCTTTCCAGTGAAAGCACAAATAAGGCTACTAATTAATTTGTTCTTTTTCAGCAATTAATACAGCAAGCATTTGGTTCCTTGGACTGGGACATAGGACAGCTTACACAAGATGGCTTAAAGCCAAGAAAAGCATTGAATTTGTGCCCTCCTAGCTTCAGATCCTTAGTTTTTGTTTCTACCTTTTATATTTGTAATTCTATGAAGCAAGTGTTCAGAATTGAATAGCAAGCAAAGTTTCCAATTTGACAGCAATCTCTCCAAACCACTTATTTTAGCTCATGAACTATTCTATTTGCGTCTCACAGTATCTATTCAGGCTCCTGTTCCTTATTTCTCTCCCACTCCAGAAGACGGTACTCCAACATGCATAGTTCATTTTTCCAGGAAGCGGGTATATCCCCTGCTCCTATAATGCTGTGACCTGCCTGTAACACCTTATTCTCTAGACTCACTTAAAACTAGAAGTTAATGAAAGCAGACAAAGTATCTTTTAGTAACTGCCAAATACTGTTGCTGCAGTAAACTTGTACTTCATAAGCCAAGTAGAAGATGTCTTGATAGCCAAGTAGAAGATGTCTTGATAGCAGCTCAGAATAAAGCACAGGAGCTGCTGATTCTTCATTACCCTGATGAGTATGAAAAGGATGCAATCTACAATCCAGCAGGAGATGCTAAGCTGCTCAAGCAGCACATTAAGTTTAAAAGTTACTTGGAACATCTAATACCACAGTCAGAAAAATAGTTACTAGCATCCAAAGATTATATTAGTGATGCCTCAGTACTGTCTTCACAGTTGGATTTGGATTTAAGTTTTTGTTCTTTCAAGCTGGGCTAGAAAATGCTGTGTTTCTTTAAGACATTTTCAACCTTTACCCTAAGGTTTAGGTAAAGAAATTCATAGTTTTCCATCGAACATCTCTCTCTGAGGCAAAAAAAAAAAATTGCTCCTGAAGTGGCTGGCAGAGTGGGTCATGCTACAGAAAGATTCAAAAGCTTGTGAGATGCTCGAAAGGTGACAAGCATAGCTAAAAGCGTAAGCTTTCTCCAGTGTTAGGTCGGCTACATTCAACATATATGAGTCTGTAAACTGAAGAATTCTAATTGTACTTTTAGAAGTTCATTAATAACTTGCTCCTTCCAGTGCTCTCAGCTTTGCCAGCAGAAAACATCCCTGTGTCCTGGGTATTTGTTTCCACCACTAATGTGACACAAGAAGGTGAGGTCCAACACTTAAAAAGAATGTTAAATGAAGGAACTCTTCACTACAACTTTCTGTGTTTGTTTTTGTTTCTCTTCCCGTTAAGTTTGCTCCCATGATGATTTTTCAGCAGAGCTCAACCACCTTTGGAAACACTAACAGCATAGCAGATCAAAGGCTTCAGAAAACTAAGCTCCCATCCACTTGGAAAGGTGCAGCTAGCTTGACAGAGCAGGTTAACAGGCTTCTAGAAAACTTTGCATCTTCTGATTACCATCTCCCTTTTCTTCACTATCCCAGTTAAAAGACCTAGAACTTCTCCTTTGTGAGAAGATATCATGTATTAGTCACTGCTGAACTGCAATTCAAGAGTAATTCAAAAGAAAGGTATGTTGGCGTATCTCAGATGAATGGGACCTGAAGTCTGTTCCCCTACTCCCCTCAGAATTGAGTTTTTTCCCCTCCCCACCACAAATAGTTATTAGTCTAATTGCTATTCCACTATAAACGCAGCTCTTCTAGAGAGCTGATAGCTGTGTTTATACACCCACGCAGAATAGGCCACGCTCCAGAAACACTATGCTGCATGAAACACTTGCATCTCACTTACGACAGAATCCTAACTGCAGATTTACCCTGGTCTTCGACTATAAACCAGGCCATTCTTCCTCGCTCCTTAGCCAGTCATTCTAGTCCAGGACTACACTTCCTCCAGAGTTGAAGGCCAGATGCCCGGTGAAACTTTCAAGTACATTCTCAAAGCACAGACCTACACAGTCAAACCTACTGCTTTAATCTGTGACCCAGGAAGACTGCTGTAGAGAGGTGGATGCAAGAAGTCACAACATAATTATACTGAGGGACCCCAACACATTTTCTCCTTACATTCAAATCAATAAATGTGTTAACAGCTTATATAATTTCCAAGACAAAAATTTTGCTGCGTTATACTAACAACATACTAGGAACCAAAAAAGCTTCTAGGATATATTAACTTCTGCAGCTAAACTTAATGGCAGTTGTAACTCCTACATGTATATAGCCACACAGGATTTTACAGCCAGCTTCCTTAAACTTTAAGGCTAAAGGAGCTGAAATTTATCCATTAAGTACCTCTATGCACAAGTTATTTACTATAAATAAATGCATTATTGCACAGGAACCTGTGAAATTTGACAGCATCTTTCCCTTGCAATCTGTAAGAAATTTCCCAGGGCTAACCAGTAAATGCTTTTCCCAACAAAAAGGTAACCTTAGCCAGTGATATGAAAGGTTCTTCCAAAAGCTATTGTACTGTTTGTCAAACTAGAAGCAAAACTCCATTGCAAGTTTAGGTTTCTACACTGAAGACAATTGGCAGACGAAGAAAAATCTTACCGCTGCATCAACATTAGCAGGAGAATCACCATTGGGATCTGCCAGCATAGAAATAACACTAATCATTATAGTTTCCACTGTGTGAATGGGAAGCCAGCGTTCCTCAGGTTTTTCATAGCCATATTTGTCTTCTCCAGGCTCATGAAGAATTGAAATGCAGACATCGCCATTCTTGTCAACTACAAAATAGAACAAGGCATATTTCAGTAATGAACAACATGCTGGCATTTCTTCAGAATAGTTACGGAACTGTTAATCTTCACGCCAGCTAGTCTGAAAACACATTGGTGAAGATGCTTTACCAAAAAGGAAAGTAATTAACTATTACAGAACTCAATCTGTAATAAAAAGGGCTTGGTGGAAGTCTGTTATTATGCCTGGACATCTGGCAGAGAGGGCACATGGGGAGGAAGAACTTAATTCTAACATCATGTTGCAACGTTCAAGACTCTTTAGATAGGCTTCCACTAGAGCTTTTTCTGTTAAGTTCAGCAACCTAGACAGTGACTTTTTTTTCCACAGGAACAGCATCAGCTGGATATTACTGCAATATATTGGAATATTATTTAAGCTGCTGGAATTAGAAACTGCCTGACAAGTACTCTGGTGTTTCCAGAGCTGAAACTGACACAGCATCAAAATAGTCTCTCTGTCCCTTAGGATGGGAGCACTGTGCTGGTCTCCCCCCAGCTTTCAACACCTACAACTTCAATAATGACTTTAGAAACTGAAGAGCATTCCTCCTTCCCAGTAAAAACCTTCTTCCATTTTATTTTACCTTCCCATCTATGTCCTGCAGTCCATAAGTAAATGAAACATTAGGAGGAGTCATCTTTGGAAGGACTATAAAAGATGCTGTTATTTCCTTTCAGGCTTCATTGGAGGAGGACAACCTTGGGCCTTCTATAGGGAACTGCCAAGTTAGTAATACTAAGATGAAATATTTGAAGGTATAACAAAAGGCAGCGATAGAAGTTTCTCCTCAAACCAGAATTTCGCACTTAGGAAAAAGAAAAATCCCTGTACAGTTACCAAGAATTCAAGAAGCTACTTTCAGTAGCTTCTGAAAATACTTCAGGAGCAGTCTCTCAGAGCAGCACTATTAAAAACTCTGCCATGGTTATTACTTCTTTAAGAAGTGAAGATGGCAAAGTAAACGCAGAGTTTCATATTTCTAACATGAACAGAAATGTATCCATTTGTCTTCACCGCATTTTAGTTCTTAATTGCAAAAAGAAATTGAAACTTCGACATTTCTTACCATTCGGATGCCAGATTTCTGTGATGAATTTCATTTTTGGCGGCCTCAGTGGATAGTCTTTTGGAAAAGTAAGATGAGCCTTGAAAACACCACCTTCACTGGGGAATCAAAAATATCTTAGTAGAGTTTCTTGTAAGTTTAAGCTGAAAATTGGAACTTACTGATGTATCAAAAGCTCTAAGTTCACCCCACACACAGCTTAACATCATGTTAGTAATTAACAGTACCATCATTTCCATAAGCAATGCAAAGATTGAGAAGATTGAGAAGATCCTTTCACAAGATACTGCCAGTTCCCCAACACTGTATCTTTTTTAGAATTAGGATGATGTTCCAGAGGGGAAAAACCACACGAAAAAAAAACCTTGCCAAAGAATTCGCCATCTGGAATTACAAGTTACATTTTTCCTCCCAGTACATTTATTAACAGCAAAAAAAAAAAAAAGATATTGCCATAATTCCCCTTCTCAAGTACAGCCCAGCAGATACCTATTTTCCTCCTTCAGACACCTCAGTCCTAATTTCTTGATACCAGTCTGCAGCAGTGAGCCTCACTGAAAAGCTACAGAAAGTTTTATAGCTGTGTCTACATCATTACTTTGTAGAAAGACTTCCAATACTACCTTTTCAACACTAAGCTAAAGGCATTCAGACATGACAGTGAGGTGTTCTGCATTACAGTTACCCACTAAATTGGAGAATAATAAACAAGAGACATCCAGTTTTTATGTGGAGTTACAGGACCATATTTAAAAAAAAAAAACCACAACAAACTGTTACTTTACTGGGTTTTTTTGTTGTTTGGGTTTTGTTTGGTTTTTTTTTTTTAAATAACGGTTTCATTACTTTGGAATAGTCCATTTTGAAAAATGTGAAGGCCTGTATTAAATGGAAAGCCTTATAGATGGAATACTTCGCTAATATAAGTACTATGACATTTGCCCTGTTACTGTCATTTCTTGTAACTGAAGTTTGTAACAAAATTTGAAATTGCAAAGGCAGAGGTTACAAAAACTGGAACATAACCTCCGAAGAAGGTGGCACAAGATGTGCAGTATGACAAGCTACTCTTCAGTAGCCGTGCAGACAAAAAAATTGGTGTAGAAAAGACAAAGCTGTTCAGTACAATTTTTCCCCTGTATTTGTAAAGGAGTAGGAGCCAGTATCCAAAGCCCACAGGCTACTGAGAAAATAACAAGTTTTACCACCACTAAGCAAAGATGTGCAATTCTAGCAAGTGTCTCCAAAAAAAAAACCCCAAACCCAAAAAGCACTACATCTAAGTGACTCTGCTCTTAAAATAAAGCAGCTGAGGGGGATCTGAACCCACAGCAATCGTTTTCCACAAGTTTTAGAAAAGGCAGGCAGTTTCCAAAGAATCCTTGATCCTGGGAAGGGTAAGAATTCCAGAAACACTGGCTATTTTAACATCCACACTAAACAAGACAAAGGAGAATTAGATTACATTTCTTGATAGCCCTAAACCAGTTAAGTCCTTTCTTTCAAAACAAGAAAGTTCTTCTTTCCCTTTTTAAAGAAGCAGATCCTAAAGCTACTAGGCTGTATGGCATCCCTGGTTGCCCCTCATCAACTACATATAAATACAGCTCTTTAATTGATACAGTTATCTGATGTAACTGGATACACATCAGAAACCAGTTAATGAAGTACAGCTGTCAGTTAAGGGACATCAGTGCCATTTTTAGCAATATTCCTGATAAAGGAGTCTCTGTCAGTAGAGTCATGCACTGAGCCTAAAGTCTTTTTATGTAAACTCAGAATAAATAAAGTGGGACCAGGAATGAGACTGAAGTTTGAAAATTTTGAACTGCCTGGTTAAGTTAAACTATTATGGTTCTACTGTCATCATAAAACAGACCAGGGAGGAAGGATTCAGTATAATGCTACCTTGAAAAGCAGCAACTAGGGACTGGAACAGAAGAGAGCTTCTTATATAAAAAGCCTCAAAACAAGCTCAGCACCTTATTGAAGTGGCGAAAAATGCTATCGCAATTTTTAACATATAAGAGGAGGTTCAATTAGAAGCAGTATTTCTTTACTGACAGTATTTATAAAATGGCCATGAGAATATAATGGAGCCACTACAAGACTGTTCAAAAGAGGTCAACAGAAGTTGGAGAATTCATCTCATGTAAGACTTGAGAATCACAATGTAGTGAGCTTGAGAAGAAGCAAAGCAATTTGATTACTGTGCTTAAGTACTTACTCAAAAGTCTACAAACAGGTATACAACAACTTCATGTTGGAACTAAAATTGACCTCAAGTAAATGTCATTAGGCTTTTTGTATCAGTAATTTACCACTGCAACAGCTTAATGAAGGAGAACAGAGTTCATCTTCAAGAGCTGCACTTTAAACTGACCTCTTCTGGGCATAAAACCTTTTCCCAGGAGCTAGAGTAGATGATCATATATAACCTCTATGAGAAAGAGAAATCATTCTCTCAATTAGCCAGAGCTCTTTTTTTTTTTTAAAAAAAACCAACCACACTGCATGTGCCAGAGTGCTTCAGGTATATAGCAGTGCAAAAACACAGTGAACTTAAAGTCCAGGAAAAGAAGCTACTGTATGAACTGCGTAGTTTTGTGTTCAAATGTCAATTAGAGAATGCAGTCCTTAGGAGAAAGATAGATGCTTTTTGAAGCCCTCTGTCAAGGTTTGCCCACAATTCAAATTTGATCAGCGCTGAGGTACTCTAGGTCACACTACGAAGTTCTCCCACCTCAAACTGACAGGTCTTGAGGCTAATTCTATGGTCTGCTGCAGTTTCCCCAACTACTATTCCCCTCTTGACTATTTTCCTACAATCACCAGCATGAAGTTGTAATGGTTTAAAATTGTACTATCAGCTAAACTAGAGCCTCACAGCAATAACAGCAAATAGTAGATTATACCTGCCTTAAATGCGTAAGAAAACAGAAGCTGCCTCTAAGTATAGCCTATTCTTTCTCATTTCTATACAAGCACAAAGGGATCAGTGTTGCGTTTTCCCAGGGGAGCAAAGCAGTTTAGAACTTCCATATAGCAAATTCAGCTATTTACATGTATTTTACTAGCAACAGAACAGTATTACCTAACTTAGTCAGTAGGAAGATTTAGGTTAACTTCTACTCACTTAGACCAAACTAGAACTAGTAAATCCAAGTTCACTTAAGTTTCTGTATAAGTATCAGTACTTACTATAGTGTATCTGGAGGACCAATAATAAGGACTTCCCATCGATAAAGATCATTGTCATCTATTAAGCCCGCTGAAAAGCCTTCCACTGGATTTTTGTTGAGCTCTGTGTAGGAAAAAGAATTTAAAAGTGACTTTAGGTGTCTATGATATGCATTTGCTGTTTTTGCTCATGCCTCTATACGTGACCAAAAAACCCCACGACTTTCAGTGATTTGGCGCTTACTGATGGACTTACAGCCTGGGTGAGTACCCTCAACTCCCTACCACGCACAACAGCATGCTGCCAGAGCCGACACCCATAGTCTGACTCTAGAACTATCTAAGTACATCATGAGCAAAACGGCCAAAATAACTCAGAACCATGGGACATGGTCTCCTAAACTAGATACCAATAGATGTGTGTGCAAACCAGAAAACAGATTTTCTCCTAATAAAAAAAGCCATACTGCTTTATAAGAACCCTGAGGAGCCAGATTAAACTAAAGTCTATCTTTAACTCTAGAAAATGTTAACAGAAGAACAAAGTCACATTATGTTTTTATTTAAAACTAACATCCTACTTCCCCTAAATGATTTTTTTTCAGAACCTGAAAGCATTTGAGACCTGCGCCCAGTGCGTTCTGGAGATAATGATTTACTACATTCTGAACTACTAGAAGAGTGCATAGAAGATAAGCTATTATGCTGTTTAGGTTTTGGGGGTTTTTTATTTTTTCTTTTGTTTCACAGTTTTATCCACTAGTGATAAGTAATACAGGATCTAAGTTTATAGGCTACTTCATATAGTTACTGCCAAATAGGAGGCTTATCTGAAAATAATTATGCAGAAGCCAGACCTAGATACAGACTCCACTGAGTTGCTGTTTTCAGCCCACTCCAGGAAAAAGTGTAAGATTTGGAAATAAACACCTCAAATGAATTCTGCCTAAAATTCAACTTGAGGGGGGGACAGAGAACGTCTCTTAACCAATAGCTTTGGGTCAAAAGCTGATTTAAATACCATACTGATGCCAAACTGAAATTCTTGATCCAGCATTTCTAACAGTACATACAAAGTCCTGACAGATCCTGGGTATTTAGGATAGGGGAAGGGGAGAAAAAGTTATTCCTTCAACTGGTCAGTCATTTCCAGATAAAATTAGGGATTTTTTGTTTTGTTTTAAAGTAAGTGCAGTAGCAATTGTAAAACCTGTCAGACATTATACAGCCCTCATTATTATATTCCACAGTACAGTTAGTTCTACATATTCCCTCTTTGTAAACCCAATAGCTGTCTTTTGTGTTGATTTCTAAGCATTAGAGACTTAAGTTCAGAGGTCCTTATAATGCCCTCAGGTACATGTAGAAGAACTTCAAGTGAGAACCTCATATCTTTATGGAGAAAAGACTACCATTAAGTCCAAACTAATTTGCCCATAACTGGCAAACAGTGACCGCAAGCTGAAGTTCTTAATTATTTAAAGCATGGTTAAAAAAAATGCAAGAAGAATCAATTCAAGCCCTACAGAGAAGAGTCTAAGTCCACGTGGGGAAAAGAAAGTGCTCAGCTCACATGAAGGACCAAGGTCCTGAAGAGACATACAACAGGAATACCGACTTTGTTAGGCCATTGGTAATTCAGAGTCAAATATATCCACATAGATTACTCAATGCTAAAATCCCAAGAAATGTATTGGAAGGGCTTTTCTTAGAAGCTACCCAGCAGGGGTTTAGTCAACAGATGAGGTCAACCATTCAGTCTCCAAGTTGCAAGACAAAGACTTAGATATTGAATCAAATCATGTTTTCTCAAGACAATGCCTGGAACAAAAGGTAGTATCACAGGCTATTTAACCAAGCTTCAAAACCAAAAACTACAGCATGGCCACACCTCCAGTAAAGCAGACCAGTTTTCACCCTCTGGCATCTATGAAACTTTGTGGAAACAGCTGCATGAGCTTGAGTAACAGTTCTATTTAATTTTAGGTGAAAGGGGCAGAGAGACTAGGTAAGTATCTCACATGAAGTGAGGACTTCACCAGTCCCTGACTACCTCCATACTACAGACATTCCTCCAGCATCAGATATTAAAAGTTGAATATAAGCTGCTTTTTCATGCAGGATTTTATAAAAAAAAAAATTTTGTCTATTGCTTGTGCAAAAAAGCCACCTTTGTTCAGGACACTTAAGTCATTCTTTCGGATATTGTATTATTATTGTAATACAGAATATCCAGCATAACAACTATGGAAGTCAACAGAAAGGAGTGCAAATATTACAGTCTCTCACCTTGACTTTCACATTTGAAAAATAAGCCTCCAAAACACAAGAACCCTCATTTCCGCATTTCCACAGAGAGAAAAGGGTTTATACCAAGTTCTGTGTAAACTCCTATAACTCAAGCTGCTCACATTTAGCTTCCTTATTGTTTGCTAGTTATCATTTCTCAGTGATAAGACTGTAAACAAGCATGCCAGAAGTTAAGACTCTAGAAAATTCACCATGCTTCTCTGTCTAAATATGCCACACTATTTTCGAGTCCAACAAACACATTTTCTTCTCTATTTCTTGATTCGTGCTATTTCAATTTCTTTTTACATCTGTCTCAGCCTCCAAATAACTTTTTTTATCCTTAAGTCCTTTGAAACATTTTTCATGTACTTGTTCCCAATGAAAGCCAGCTCTTACACTCTGACTCATACCCAAGACCTTGCAGCACTATATGGCAAGACATCTTGTGAGAAGGAATAAGATTGCTGGATGCCAACTCTTGTAATGCAGAAAATCTGTGAAGTATATGAAAGGGACAGCCATTGACAAAAATCTTCAGTTACAGCAGTTATGGAAATTTGCTTAGTAGATGTTGCCTACAAAGCAAATTATGATGTTACTTCTTTTACAGGAGGTGGCATCTGTCTCTGCTTGTAAAAGGTTCTCATTTTCCTTCCACAGTAGCAATACTGAAACATAGTTCAAATAGCTACTCCTTGCACAAATACTTTAACTTGAGGCAAAAGTATGGATATAAGCTCAGGCGCCTTCTCCACTAGAGGTATGTAGAATTACCATAGGCAAGTTAAAATGAGCTTTTCCATCCAGATTATTTATGCTAAACTGAACATCAACTAATGGCTGGTTGGCAGACAAAAAAGGAAATCTCAGGAAAGTTTTGCACTGGGACATGAAAGACATCATCCTTGGCTGCTTTAGCTAAGAGCTGCTACTCGTTAAAACTTGCAAACACTGAAGCCTAGGGTTTGTTTGGTTTTAGTTTTTTTCCCCTGGATATAGCCAACGCTGCGTATCAGAAGGGTTACCTAGTAGTACCACCTATCTCTTCATGAGTTGAGACCCACACGGTATGAAACCCATGCACCAAAATCCCAAATGAATAGTGATGCCACTATGGCAAGAAAGGAGCACACACACACTATGCTCACAGTCACAGGAGTCAGCTGCCAGGCAGAGGAACTTCTGCCCACCAACCAGAGCCTCTGGTGACACTGACACTGCACTCAAAAAACAGGACACCTGTTCTCTGTGTCTGTCATTTCCTACCAACTACAGTAGTTAACTACTTGCAGCCTGAACAAGAGTTCTTAGATGAACACATGGATGGCAAGTATGCCTCATAAAGCAAAGGATTCAATTCCCTCTTCCAGCCAGGGAGAGGGAACAAGCTCTTGGTGCAGGTCCTCTCCAAAGCCCTGCTGAAGAGCTAGCCTGCAAGTCCTGGAAAAGCAGAGAAGTCAGACACCTATGAAGAACTGAATCCCTCCACATTATTTTTTCAACACTTAAGTCTTCATTTGAGATTCCTTGTTTAGCTAAAGATAATCTTGTACTTTTTAAACGTAAACGAGTATATTAACACATTTCTGTCATGTCCATGCCTAAGTAAGTGCAATTTACTTGCTATTATATATTACACACTATGGTTTAGTATTTCTGTCAATATTTTCTGCATTGCTGATAGTTTAATATAATAGAAATTCTTCTTCCCAGACAAAAAAAATTTCTTACATTCACTCTAGAAGCAGTTGCAGGTAGAGTCCTCCACAGCTCAAGCAGCAGCCGACAGCCAAAGCAGCACAAACCTGGACAGCTGCCAAGCAGCAACATACTGGGGAAAGAATCCTGTGGCTGCTCATAAATTAGACATTCAGTCCCTTTAATCCCTGTCCTGAATCAATACCTGATTTGGGAGAGGAGGAAGACTACAGGCCCATAATCCAACAGAATTGTTTAAGTCCAGAACAGACCTTAATGTCCAATGTCTAGTCTCCCACATGATCTGCCAACACAACACAGTGCTCCTTTAGCGGTTTAGCTCCTACTAAAGCAGAACTAAGTTACCATTGCCTTAAACTTGAGCCAACACAGTACCAGAAGCTCTGCTTCCAGTTTCAGTGTTTAGCTGACACCAAGCTACTGATGTTCCCACACTCACTAAAACTGCCTTTATATAAGCCAAGAGACTTTCACCAATCCAAAAGCAAAACGGCGTCAACAAAAATGACTAAGCAGAAACAGCCCCATGGATACATGTAGCAGCTATGTACGGCATCTAAACTTTTCAGCTTGACGTTTCACCCAGCCAGCCACTGCGTATGAACACTTCAGAGTATTTTAAGCTACATTACGGAACAAAGCTTTCAAAAATATAAGCTTCTACATTATTTTTAATAGCAGCCTCTTTAGTAAGTTACACAGTGGTTGAGTTTTGTGCAACCAGTGGATTGAGCCCAGCACAAAAACAGAGACCGGACAGCCCAAGTTCTAGCTAAGGCTTCTGGAGAAATCATCTGGCTGACTTACACACAGTTCCCAGAACAAGCAGGCCGTATCAGAGGTTTACATTTGCTATACATTAGGCTTGGGTTTTTTTGGTTGCTTTTTGTGAGTCCCAGCACTAGTCCAGGAGCTTCCAACAACTGTACAGACTGAAAATCCTCGTTTGAGACTCTTCTTCTCCGTACCCCATACAGTTTTATTACTTAACTGAGGTCAGTTATGATTTCCAAGACTTTCCTTTCTGCCTGCATACCCAGCTGTAAGTCTCTGATTCTAGAAGATTAGGGCTGAGATAATGATAAAGTAACATGATCTCCTTGCAAAGATGTA